CCTCCTGATGTTATTTATTAACCAGGCAAATCCCATTGAGATCACAGATCTCTTTTGCGAGGCCTGGGCCTGAAGGCAGCCTAACATGCATGTTTTTGGTCTGAGGGAGGAAACCGGAGTACCCGGAGAAAACCCACGCAAGCATGAGAAGAACATGCAAACTCCACACTAAGAATCCAGGTTCAACCGGGGATTGAACCCAGGACCTTTTTGCTGTGAGGCAACAGTGCTAACCACTGAGCTGCCGTGCTGCCTAAATGTTAGTCACTTGGAAATGCTCGTTATTACCACTGCCTTCTTACGTAGCTTGTTAACCACCACCAGGTATGGTTAGCCAGCACCAGTTTGTTGGTCTGGATCTGGAAATCCCACAGTATCTGAGCCCTTCCATTCAGTCCATACTCAGGCCACTGAGTACTCACTAGGTTATGGTGTTTTATGTACACTTTGCCTGCCTTGGATCCTGCCGTTACGAGCTGGATCGTCTCAGATGCATCTGTGCACATACTGCATGAGCCAGCTGACAAGGCAGTGAAGTTGTTGCGTCTCATGATCTTGGTATGAGAAAAATCAAAGTTCAGAGTTCAAACCCTGGTGCTGGCATCCTCTGAACAACCTTGGTTAGATAATGAGCTCAAACTTCAGGAACCAGGATATTCTGAGGAGAACAGGATTACTGGAACAAGACCGTCACGGACGAGGGCAGAGAACTTAACCCTGATAAATACATGAATGCATTTAAATTATTTTACTGAAATTTAACACCTGATCTGGGCTCATATAAGACTTCATTTGGTCTGAATTCAGACGTGGTCTACCATTTGGAGAACCTTACCACAGAAAGCGCCTTTACACAGTAAATTTAAAAAAGATGTTTTGAGTAAAGAAAACAAGTTTTATTTACTGTAAAACAAGAAACTGAAAAAGTGATGAAAAAAATCATTAAAACTTGCAAGAATTTGCATAAATATATTTATATATCATCAGTGGTGACAAGTTTTAAAAGAGCAAAAATCAAGAATTTACAATGAAGCTGCAAAATAAAAACAAATCAGACAAACTACCCTGAAATAAAAGAATAAAAATGTCTCTTTATGCATTTTTTAAAGTAATTTTTAATCACTGCCGTCTCTTCTTTTCTTTTAGTTTAAGCACTGGGAAGAAGAATGCACAGCGTTCTAACTGAGCAGCTCCAACTTGAAATTCATTGAACAGAATCAGTGCAGAAAGTGTGAGCAGAGTTATGCTGCATACAGTGCAAAAACGATTTGGGGGGGGGGGGCAGGATTCCTGTGGGATTACATAGGCTGTTGTGTCTCATTGGGTGAACCACTGTTCGTGCAGCATCCTTCACTTCTACCATTTTAAAACCTAAAAGGAGGAAACACAAATCTCCTTCTGTCAGTTTTTGAAAAAACTTACAGCGTCATTACGTAGCTGTGAAAGCTGCAACGTACATCTGCAGCGTAACCGAGCACTATTCCACAAATGAGTTCACTTCGCTGCAATAATAAGGCCATAAAAACACAGAAATCATGAGGAAAATTTACACTCATACCACAGTTTACATGTTAATAGTTCAAGCAAGCTTCATTCTTTTATATATATATATTTAAAAAAAAAAAAAATCCAAATTCAGAACATGGATGCAAAACAAATATTCACGCGTATATACTAAACAACAGTCAATTAGAGCATTTTCATATAAAAATAGCTTAAAAATCTGACACGTTTTAGTACAGTGTATGGTTTTGTCTTTTTTAATTATTTAGGTCTGAGACGGTTCAATAAGAGGCTGGTACGTGACTCCTCTGCTCTTCCTTTCCTCCTCTGACAATGCTTACTCAAACACAAGCCCAGCTAAAATCACAAAGGCCTGCTAAGAAAAGAGAAATAAAAAAAGACTGTCTCTATTTCCCTCCCTACTCTAAACTAAGACCCCACTCTCCTACAGACAGCACAGTCTTCTCAGTCCCGGGTGTCTCATGCACAGTGGTTTAGTAACTAGAAACTTTGTCCATCATTGGAGAAAGTACGTCTAACAGTTTAATGTGTGCTCAATATTGGAGCAATGTCAGGTTCACTGGAAACGTAAAGCAGGGAGGTTTTTTTTAAAAGAAAAAAGTGCCATATTTGGCATGAAAATAGTCTCTGCTGCACAGGATAGAGCACACAAGACAGAAAACACAGAAGTATATTAAACTATAGAACACACAACTATCCACAATTTTAGTGTTTTACGCACAGAAGCGTGTTGGAAACTGTGAAGAAGAACAACAAAAACATGTTCAAAACCGTAAAGTTGCAACCAACGGACAGATTGCCATTTTCCATGCTCTGCACACAGGCGGTTTGTTTTCTTCAAACGAGACGAGCAACATCAACATCATCATTCCAAGTTAATTTACGAGCAGCCAGCTGAACAATACTGAACACACAGAGATGCACAGGCACACCTAACACAGTCCCTCACAAACACACCTCCCATTGAATTATGGGTCGTAAGTTATAGTGTGAGCGGTGAACAGCTTGTCCCGATACCAAAACAATAATAATAATAAAATGCAAAGAGAAACAGGAAGGATGATGTTATAAGGACACTTGAGAAAAGATTGGATTGTTTGGACGAACTAAATGCTGTTGCTATGTACCGCCTTGTTTGCTGCTTTCCAAAGCACATAAAATAAGAACTCTCTGTAGCTTATGACAAAATAAATAAACAAAAACTCTTGCAGCAGTTGTAAAAAGGCCACTGAATGCTTGTGTGTGTGTTGGTGTGTGTGAGAGGCAAACACAAACACACGTAGGAACTAGGCTAAGATCTCGCGTTAACATCCGTTCTGAACGACTGGGTAGCATTAAAATAGTGCTAAATGCAGCTAGGCCTGTCACGATAACAAATCTTGCTGGGTGATTGTCTCAGAAATTATTGCGATAAACGATAATATTGTTTGAAATTACTAATTATTGTCAAATTTAAGAAATGTTTGTTAATTTGTGTTGCATGCAGTACCTTATTTCGACCACCGGGTGGCAGTATAAGACTGAACCAAAGGATGGATAGTGAGGGAGCGAGCAGCGTGTCTAAAATAATGGGAGCGGCCTCTTGACGTGACATGGGCCGTCTCTCTTCGGTTCTCAAAATGGCAGATGCTTTGTGTGGTTTGAGCTCTTTAGCATAGCATTTTTCACACAAAGCATTTAATTAAAAAAAACCAGTAAACAAGTTCTCAGCTTCTCTTTGCAGAGAAAAACAACAACGGAGGTGTTTTTCCTCGAGGTTGGCCTGTTAGCTTAGCTCATAGTTTAGCTTCACAACTTGGCTGCTTTTAACGATCCATAAACACAATTTTGGACGGTTAAAACGGATTTTAAAAGAGAAAAGAGAAAGAGACGGGGGTCAGTGAAGATCACCAGAGTTGAGCTTCTTGTCATCCAGTGTCTTCAGTAGAAAGAGACGAAGAAACAATGAAGACGATAAATGAAAATGAGGTCAATAATTTTCACTTATCATGCGATTAATTAATTAATTGTTTATCGCGACAGGCCTAAAAGCAGACATCACCAGCCTCAGTGCAAGTGGAAAACGTTTTCACCAAGACCAAATACAGAAGGGATTTGGCCCGCTTTGATTTGCATACGCTTGGAAGTCTGAACACGTTCTGACCCGAGCCAAGCCGTTGGATCTCCATCTGACCTGACGTGAGCTATTCCCTGGATGACTCCGGTTTAAAAAAGTGCTAAGCTGCTGGCTTAGCAATATTCTGAAGATACGTGGTTTTAAAATTTTCTTGAGAGCTGCTTGTCAGAATCCTGAATAAAAATATCTGTCTATAGAATTTGTCTTCAGTGTTGTACGTTTATTCTGATTATAAAGCGGATTATGGCTGAGGTATGCTATAATGTGATTTCTTTGCTTCTGGAACACCTTACAAAAAGATCTGAAGCTCTGGACTTCGACCTCTCTAAAGGATTTTAAACAAGTAACTCAACACAGACATGTTCCTGTTTTTAGTATTTCACCTTGTTTCACAATGTAGCTTGATTTTATTTTGTTTTACATCACTACTTTTATTTACTTTTTAACTTTATATGCATTTTATGGCTGTTTATTGTTGTGTGCACCTTACCTGTGGTTTAAAACGGGTCTCTCTTGAAAACGAGTCCTTGTGACTCAATGAGATTAACCTGTATATATAAAAAAAAAGGTTGAATGAAAAATGATATTCACCTAATTAAACGCAGCTCAGTGAATGTGTAAAACAGCTGAGGGCTGTCTGCTCACCAGTTCAAGTCACCAATCACTGTATTTGATTTCTCTTGTATTAAATCTGTTACATAATTAAGCTCATCAAATGGCTCTGGACCGTGTCAATGTCAAAGCAACAACATAGCTCAGATGTCTGAAGCTAACTTCTATAAAACAATCAGCCGACCTGCTGTCGCAGTTTTCTTGCTCATTGGCCGTCTCTGATTCAGCCGTGTGTTCTGCATACAGAGCGGGTAATCTGAGCCCAAATACAAATTTGGGTATGAATGTACTGGCCAGGTGTGAACGCACTCCATCAGAGCTGTCTACTTGCAATCAAATCACCCAAGACCAGTGCCAGGTTTATACAGAGCCTCCGAGTCTTTAGCCAGAAACCAGTGATCCTTTCTAAAAAAAACCCTGTTTTCTCAGATTTTCCACCATGCCATTTTACAACAGTAGAGTCACAGGTTAGAGTACAGCTTCCTCTTGGATGAGCTTCTCTCACGAGCGAATTATCAAGAGTCGTGATGGGAAGTGATCCAAAACGTAGATGATGTCTCCATCCTGCAACACGTTGGGTTTTAAAGGTCAATGCTGTCAGATAATGTCAGAAAAGATCTGGGAGTTCAAACTTAAACTTTGACATTTCAGGCTGCAGCTGTGCCGAATACCTTAAACAGCACGGATGTTCTTCTAGATTTAACTTCTTAAAATCCTCTCCTGAAAACAGGACGCAGAGTAAGGCCCAAAATCAAAACCACAGTGCAGTTAATCTACTGCTAATTTACAACAAGTTCACCTGAAGTTGAAACTGGCTTCATAAGGTACTGTGAAGGGAGACAAGTCCACGTGGATTAAAAGTACACGAGTGAACGCAGTTTTACACAAAAGGACACTTAAAAAAACTAAACCCATCATAATAAAGCATCAAAACCAGCCCTGCCAACACACCACCAGCAGCAGATCCCAAATGAATGATGAACGCTTCCGGCTCACAGTAACACTGTACTTTTTTTTTTTAGAAAGGGTCTTCAAGCCCAAAGGGACAGTGATGCAAGGTTTCTTAGTGTGCACATTTTTGTTTGTTTGTTTAGGAGAGCAGCAGAAATAAATCTGATGTGTTGTAAAGACGTGACGTCTCATTGTCAGAACTATTCTACTCATTTCCTCCCACAACTCCTCCATCTTTAAGAAGCTTTGGCTTTTCTTGCCCGTGGCGACGTCTTCTCTTCAGCCTTGACAACTCCATTGGCAGCGCCTCCTGACAAAGACAGGTTTGTTGAAACTTTATGGATTCACTGTTCATGCATACAGATGCAGGAATAAGCTCAACTACAGAGAGTTGGAAAGAACATGTTTGCAAACTCACCCTTCGCTGTTTCCCTTTTAGGCGGTTTGCTCTTTGGGCTGACTGTCTTCTTCTTTGCTGCTTGGCTCTGGCTGTGTTCTCTCCACTTTTTCAACTGGAAATTGATGAACTTCCACATCATCCAGGCTTGTGTCAGACAGATGGCTGCTAGGCACGTCATCCTGAGAGGGAAAATCCAGTTTACTAAGGCTTTGTTTGTTTAAATCTACACATTTTGATCATTATAAGACATTGAGAGACAAAAGAAGAAAGGCTTATTTGATCTAGATATAAATTTGGTACACATAAATGATTTGATTTACCAAGAGCTGGCACATCTAGAACAGGAACCAGGGAGCACAAGTGGCACAAGTGTTATCAGGCAGTTGCTAGAGCATCTGACAATCAGTCACAACAGTAAGTGAAGGTCACCAGACACAAAGGATGCATTAAACCATATTATCAGCACATGATGAAGATTAAGGATATGAGGATGCAGTGTACAACTTGTGGGGTGTACAGATGTCACCACATGGGTGTTGGAACCAATGGGTTCATGAGGACACCCACACGTGATGGTTCTGAAGGCTCAAGACAGAACACACCAAGGAAAAACTGCTGTATGTCAAGGATCACAGACTGTAACATCTATGCCATGTGACACAAGTACTGGAGTTTTTTTACAGTCCCCAGTGCCTTTTCACACTGGGTCTTAACCGACATCAGCTAGAATACGAGCTGTAACGACTGCAATGTAGTTAAATAACTTTTCAACACAAACAGTTTAATTTTATTTCCACCACCCAGTCTGGGTGGTACCTACCGTATTTTTCTCCGTACACGTCGCATCGCCCTGTAAATCACATCAGTCCAAATATGTCTAATAAAGTAAATAAGTCGCTTCGTCATATACGTTGCATCATTTATGAGTCACCGCTGACAACCCAGAAATGTGGGCCGGTGTTGTGCCAAAAATCGATAGGCTGCCAAATGGCGGCTGCGGGAGCGTGCACAGGAGGACTTTAACAAGAATTTAACAACACTTAAAAACAATTATATGTTTGCTTGAAATTATAGTAAAGGTGTGTCTCAGTCGAACTTTTCCTTAATAAATGCACTTCAGTGATCAAATTAGCTGCATTTCACTGGGGCGGTGCAGCGAAATGAAGCTGATTTGATGGTTGCTCCAGACAAACGACGATTTCAGTGTATAGCAAGCTGATTGTATCATTAATAGCCACTTTTACCGATTACATGATAAAACAGCATGCTATACAACTTGAGTGCCATCTAGCAGCTGAAAATAGTAGTGATCAATATTTTCAGTCAGAATTAATGAAAACGGTCATATCTCCGTCAAAAATTGGTTTATAAATATGGGAAAATATCCATAAATACGATGCTTGGGTGTACAAGTCGCAGGGCATGCAAATTATGCAAAAAACTGCGACTTATAGGGCGAAAAATACGGTAATTGTTTTTTTTTCTCTGCAAGTATACTTCTAGACCCCCACCTTATGGTAAGCACATTGAAGTTGCCATCAGCTAAGGAAAAGCCGTGGTTTTCTGTCCGGGGCAGGCCAAAACCAAACGTCAGAACTGACAGTGTGAGGGTGAGGAGGCGAGCGATGACAAAAAGAAGTGCCCACAGAGTAAAACTGGGAAAGAACAAAAATAAGCAGTTGTTGAGAGCACTATGTCATTTGCTAAAAAATAAATACTATGTCAGAAATTGGAAAAAAAAAAAAAAGTGATACCCTTTTTGCTTGTTCTCATCACTAAAGTAGAAGAGGCGTGACGCATGAAACAGAAGCTCCACCAGGTAATGAGGGACCAGTAACACCAGGCCGAGTCTGTGGAGACTGAACACAGAGGGACAGTAAAAAAGGGATTAGCTGAGGTAGTAAAAACGTCTTGTACCAACAGAACACACCTGTAGGTCACACACCATCTTAGATCAATGGTCTTTAAAGGGAAGAAGAAGGGGAGCCAGTGATTCCTGAGATCAGACCTGTTGGGCTCTAAGGTCAAAGGACTGCATGAATTTAATGTCATGAGCAGCAAAGAGTTGACTTTAAAAGAAGCTACGCCACATTAGCTTTGGAGTCAGAACGTAAAAAGTGAACAAAACCAGTTAGTGCAAACACTGAAGTAAAGATCTTGCCCAATGCAAAGCACTTAATTGTGTGCTGTGGCTGACTCTCAGCTACTACCACATCAAAATTTAGCTGAAAATCTGTAAATTTACTGAGTTTTTGTTTGCTTTTAAGACCAAGTGACCACCTTGAACTGAAAAAGTCCTTATTTTTACCCTTAAGAGTACAAAAGAACACACTCACTTTAGGACATAGGCACCAGTGATGTGGACAACGTTAAGGCAAATGTAATAAAGCTGGCGGGGGATGTCTTCCTGCAAAACAGACAAAGAGTTTGTTAGTATCAGCAACAACCACTGATGAAAGGGTTCGCTATAAATCTATACAGCAGCGTTTAAAAACCATTGAAAGTTCTCGGTCTCTGGACTAATTTCAAACTTTTATATTGGCCTAAAAAGCTGATAAAAGTTAATATAACGGAGGTTAAAAACTTTGATGTTCACTGAGATAAATGCACGTTCATTTAACAAACCTTTTACTTTCTACATGATGTAACATTCAAATAGACTGTGATTAAACACTTGCATCCTGTTTTGTCGGTCATGCACATCACTTAGGAGGATGAGCTCATCCCAAAGTGCCAGCAACCTAAATTTGGGGATGTTTATCGACTTGGACCACTTGCTTTAGATCCTTTCGCAAAATTTAAATCGGACCATCTTTAGTTAAGTTACCCTGGTTTCATATGAGATCTTCTGAATCAGTACATGTTCGATTTGAGATGGGTACCAGTGGCCAAAATCATTTATCCTAAATTTGTCTTGAACACATTTTTCAGCGTAAAGGAGTTTCAACAAATGTGTGATGATGCAAACACTGAAGAAACTTTGACAGGATGACCTCCTCTAACAGCAAACAGACATGTTGTCTCAATCAGACAGTTGGGTTCTCCTCATTCTGAGACTTTTAAGAATGACATTTAAAAAAAAACTCTTAAGAGAAATATAAATTTTAGGACAGGGCTATTCAACAAAACTGCTCGGGGGGGTCTGAAAGCCAGCAGCTCGGGTGCCGGACATCCAGCGATTAACGTCATTATGTAAATAAACCAAGTTTAACAATGATCTGTTCGTTATCTTTTACATTTGTTTTATTGCATTAAATCATAAATGCAATAAACAGAACCCAAAAACCAAACCCTGAGACTCCCACCCACCCAAAAAAAATAAAATAAATTGAGTCCTTCCGCAGGCCAGAAGTGGCCCATGAGCCGCCAGTTGAATAGCCCTGTTTTAGGAGATTTCAAACTTTCCAGCAACACCAAGTTAAAAAGAACTGTTCTATGTTACTATACAACACTTTAAATCTGTTGAGATTTTTAAAGAGCATAAAAAAAAACAATAAACCAGCTTTCAGATTTCAAATCACATCTTCTATTTAAATTAGGCTCCAACATATAACCATCCTCAGATATAAAGCATTCATACAGCTGAAAAGCAGATCAATAATTAATACATTTTAAATCAATGCGCTTTAGATAGGTAAGCAAATCAAAACTTTGCAAAATTAGAAAACATAAAAAGCTTCAATGTTTTTTATTTCCCTTCACATGGACACCCTTTTTTTAAATCCTCCTTACCTTCCGAACTTTTTGAAAGTACAACTCAGGAAGTGCGTGGAGCCAATAGGCAATTTGGCAAATGTAGAAAAACTTGACCTGGAAACTAAACAGAGAGCAGGGTGTGCAGAGGGGGAAAAAGACCCAAAATGAGAGTTTGGTTGCAGTAAAATCAGAAAAATATACTGAAATGATGATGAAACAAGAAAAAACCTACAGGTGATCCAATAAATGAAGCTAACTTTGGTAAAATATAATCACTACTAAGCTGAAATCTCAGTTTTTATTGGGCATAATTAAAGGAACGTTTGAAACGTGTGTAAAAGTAAATGTTTTGCTTAGACTTTGCAGGGGAATCAGTCACAGTTGTAAAATACGAGCCTTTTCTACATAAACCTTTACTTACACCATGTGAGCGTGTGGGTAACCCTCCCATAAGAAAGTAGGATTTGTAGCAAAGTTCTCCTGTCAGAAATAAAAAGCACAGTGTGAGACAAAGCTACAGACAGCCTGGGACTGTGTGTTTGTGTCTCCTGGGCCGTGTACCGATGTGAGGATGCTGCAGCCCCAGATGAAGGAGAACAGGTAGAACGCAGCGAGCTGTCCAGACTCGTTGAACTTGCTGTGTTTGGTTTTGGACAGGTGCAACCTCCTGTTGATTTTCTGAAATTTAGAAAATACTTACAGGTGAACAGAATATACTGCACACTCAAAGTAAAAGTCATTTTATATTTATAACAAATAGTCAAGACTGTCAGTCACTCCCACCATATTTTACATGAATTGTTTTGAAGCTTGAGTTTTGAGGAAAAGATTCTACAAATGCACAAAGCAAAAAGAAATATAGGGGCCAACAAAAATGAAATGTCTTCCTAATATTTGCTCTTAGTGGTAAATGCCTTAAAAATAAAAAAATAAAATATATATATATAAATATTTACCCATTGAATGGAATTATAAAGTGATATCTTAGTGGGGAAACAAATATAAAGGATTCAGCAACCACTATATTTCACTTTGCAAAGTTAGAATTAGCATCGCCTCACAGCAGACCAGTCAACAGGAAATGCTACTTGAACCAAAATGAGTAAACTCGCATCACAAAGGACCTCAGCTGCATCATCTTGTGCAAATGTTTTTTCTTTTGGAAAGGCCTGATTTCATGCAATGCCTCCTGGCACTTACCATAATTTTTTTTAATTAAAATATAAATATATATATATTTGCTTACTTATTAAACCAACTCAGGAAATGACTGATGAACGTGCACCACAAGTTAGTTGGCTCATACTTCTAAAAACTTGTTGTTTTAAGTTTCTCATATTGTCTAGCTCCTTTTTTTCATTTATTGTGTTTTTTTTAATATATGCATTTCTCAATTTTCATCATTTTGTAACCCCACCCCCCCCAGCTTGTAAACTGTAGTTATGACACATTTCACGAGAGTTTGTGTGTCTTTCTATTTTGTAGTGTTCTGTAGTTGTGTGTTTATAAAAAAACAAATAAAAAAAAAAGTTGGCTCATACTTCCACTTTGAGAGCATCTTGCATTAATTGAAAGAATGCATATCGCCAACTTTCATGTCAGACTTAAAAAAAAACAAACCATCTTACGATGAGGCCAGAGGTAAAGCTGTAACCTTTACAGAGGTAAATCCTAATCCAGGGGTGCCCACAGTTTTTCAGCATGCGAGCTACTTTTAAAATGACCAAGTCAAAGTGATCTACCTGCTACAAGGCCCCGTTTACACTGAACAACCTCTGGAAACGTTAGTGTTTTTTCAATGTTTATTGTAATATACAAGAAATGAGCAGGTTTACATGAAAACATTGTTATCTGTAGGGTTGCCAGATAAGAAATTATGAACTATTGTACTGTGGCTTTAAAATTATAGTATTTTGATCTAAACTGTCATGTGGTGAGTAAAAATATTCTAAAATGAGGTGCGTGTTGTGTTTGTTGAATATGTGCACAGAAAAGGAGGGGGTAAATAAGACGTTTAAGATTTATCTGGCAACCCTGACTCAGCTGCATTCATTGAACGTGCAGCATCTGCATGACAGTTAGACCAAACTGGTGAATACACTTAAAGTCTCTTTGAACCCTGGATTTTATTAGTTTTGCTCCTACATGCTGAAAAAGAGTGAGTAGCGCAAACATTTATTATAACTGTTGTTAGTGCAGAAAAACTTTTGACTGCAGCTACCTGTAGTGCGCATGTGCGACTTCACACACTGAGAATTTCACCGGAGGGCGGGGATTAAATATGGATAAATATAAATATCTTCCCCGGAAAGCTCCACTCTGAGATCTGGTTTGAGAGAATGAGGGCTGTGACTGGCTGCCCTGAATGTCAATCAAGTGACAGATTTCATACTGAGAATACCCATAATGCCTTTGCAGATCGTGATCCACTTATTTGGCACCCCTGGCCTAATCAGTTGCAGATAACTCACTGTTTCATTAAATCCTTAGGAAATACTTTACTACCACACAGACAGAGCAGACTCCTATAATTAAGACAAAGTTGTAAAAATAGATCTTGTGCAAACACCTGTCACTTACAGTGACACTCAGCTGCTACCAAACCCAATTTTGACTCAATATCTATAAAACTGGCTGAGTTAAAGCCACTTTTGTGTAGCAATGAAAAAATAGCAGGGTCATCTGATCTGACTCAGTCAGACATGGAAAACTGTGATCCTGAGAAAAAGCAATGTTTCAAAAAAACAAGTTACATTCTGTTCAAAATGAACCATTTCTATTTTTAGTATTAAAAAAAAAATCTTGTGTTAATATCCCAGTGGGAATGATCATCAAAAGCAAAACAACATGAGCACCGTCTCAGTCACTTTACACAAAGAAACAACTGGAATTTGATCATTAACAATGAAGCAATGAAACGTGATTATGAAGTATACACATGTGGCACTGAAGCCTGTCATGCTTTGGTCTCTTTGAAATAATAAATTCTGCTTTTCGTGCAAGAACAGGTTGGTGTCAGCCGTTGTAAAAATAAGCATGCATACAAACGGTGATGGCAAAGAGAAGATATATATTTTAAAACATGGTCAAAATGTGAGCTAAATGACGCCTTCAGCACCCATGCACTCACATCAAGGATATATTCTTGAATCAAGGCGTGAAGAATGACGGCTATGAGCAGGTAGAAGAACACCGTCGCCACGTCTTTAGGGCCGTACTGGTAAAGGTTCACTGGCTCACTTTTCTCATCTGTGAAAAGAAATCCCCCCAAAAACAAACACAACAAATAAACGAGAATAAAGACTGAACAGCAGAACAGTACCGGCCAGTCTAAGCTCACCGAGAACTTGAGTGACGTTGTACTGGACTGTGATGAACATGATGGCAAACTTTGCCGTGACCTGGTGGAAAAAAAATAAAAAATATATATCAGATTATTAACCTTCATACATACAAACTGTCTTCTCTCTCCTTCAATTCAGTCCAGGCATGTGACAAGTGAGCCTTTCAGCAAAACCCTGAGCTCACTGATCCTCCTACAGAGATCTCCAGGAGGTGCCTGGAGGGGGTCCCAGCAGAACGTGAGGAAGTTCACCTCCCCTGTTACACAGATTATTGTGAGATCACGAGCTTCACTTTCTCCCTAAATCAGAGCTATTAGGACGTTCAAGCTAACTGGGAGGCCATGTCATAATAAATATGCAGCCTGATCCACCTGCTGATGAGGCAGGAGGGGGGAGGCTGTGAATGAGATGAGGTGCTGACTGTGCCAGTAAACCTCCTAACCATCTCCTCCGACCATCAGAGACACACGAGAAGGAAAGCAGACATGTGAGCTAACCACAGCTAGCAGCAGCGGCTAACAGCGTTACCTCGAACATCAGGCCGAGCAGGATGATCATGGCCAGACACGAAACCATATCGGCGTGGTTCTGGATCACAAACTCATGGCTCAGCACCGGCGGGCTCTTGTTCTTCTTGCGGAAACCCATGGCTTTCTTTGCGTGTGGTTCCCGCAGGAGGGCTGGCGCCGCAAAGTCAGTGGAGGGGTCGAAGCTACAGGCAACTTCCCCTGCTGCCGCCGGCCTGTACCGACGCTGCTGGGGGCTGACCCGGCCCGCTGGAGTTCGCGAACACACCGAACCACTCGCTGCTCCTGCGTTTAAAAACAACCATGAAGAGGAATCGCATAAACCCAAACAGTACAGAGCAACACCCACTTTTTTTTTTCCTCCACCCCTGCCTGGTAAAGTCAGATGACCCGCCCTCTCGCTTCATGAACCGCCCAACGTCACTGACGTAAAAGGAGAACCCAGGTCCGTGATGCCTTCACGTACCTCACGTAAGCATCCCGTGATTCACAAACACGAGACGATGAGAAATGCGTTTTTTATATTGCGTATATTACGTTGCACTTTCAACTTTAGTCAGCAAAAAACACATACAAAATTATTTCCTCTACCAATTATTTTCTCTTCAACGTTATTAAAATTTGTGTCAAATCTGTATCTCGTTTATGCCAGTATTCAGTTTTTTAAACAATAATTTGTTTGGCAGTAATGCTAAAGATTAAATCAAACTAGCAATGTTGAAAACGAAGAACACTGAAATACCGTTAACAGTAAATATACGATTATTTATATATGCTCGACAAATATTAACTAAAACAATTTATTGAACAGAATTGACGTTTATGCTCAAATATGTCTATTCTGGATCAATTTAAAGCATTTAATGTAAGTTCAAGCTTTTAAACAAGCTTTTCACACCAAAATACTACTGACAAGCAAACGCATCAGTAAGCCCCATGTTTTTCTTTTATTTATTGACCGGAAGTTGGGCCTTTTCCCTCTTTTTCGCTGCCACCTACGTAAAGTACGTAGCCATGCTAACACGGTAACGCTTCTGAACAAAAATGTTTCCCGCACTTTAAAGGTAATTATTTAAAAATTGTAACGAACCTTTAATGTGCATTACTTTAAGCCTTGTGGGAGCAAGTAAAATGAATGTGGCTGACCAAAATATCAAACATGACCTCGAAGTCATTACACGTTTTTACGTAATTTTCAATGACGAATGGCTGATATTCTTTATAAATACTAGTTTATGAAGTAAAACGTAACGTGTATGTTTTGCGTTTAGACCAAAAAGTCGGTCTTTTTTAGGCCTTTGGCATTTTACAACTTTCTGTTTTTGAAACCCGCTTCCTTACAGCAGAGGGCAGTATGAGACAGACAGGACGTTAAAGTGCATGAGTATGGACAGACGGTTGATTTGTGTTAAAATGGTTGCCCGGGGTCTCTCTCTCACAGCCCGGCTAGCTCAGTCGGTAGAGCATGAGACTCTTAATCTCAGGGTCGTGGGTTCGAGCCCCACGTTGGGCGTATATCTTTTCTTATAATCATTTTAATACTTGCCTATAGCAATCAGTAAGTCTCATTATTTGGTTGGGAATATTTGTTCAATATAAAATTTAATTGCATGATATTTTTCATTCATTCAACCTTTATTTAAACAGGTAAATCCCATTGAGCCTCGAAGACTCATTTACAAGAGAGACCTGATATTGGAACATTCTTTTGCACAAACCCCACCATATTATTCAGAACAAATATGATGGGAAAGCTTGTGAAAAAACAGTTTCACATAACTCCTTGCCCTCATGAACACATTAATTTAATTCCACCCAAAATATTGTAGTACACTTATAATTTGACTTGATATCCAGGTCAATATTTATAAAGCCTAGGCTTATGTTGTATATAAATTTACACCCACATAATTTTTTTTCCTGCTTGAAGATTATATTTGCATAATTTAGAGCCAGAGTGAAAAAACAAACAAACAAAAAAAAACACTTAAAAGTCACTGTCCCAAGTAATCTCATTTACCACGGGCTTTTTTCATGTAAAAGGTTTCAGTCTCTTTGTCAGCAATACATTAAAATGCTAAATTTAAATGTACCACTAAAATAAGGACGCAAAAGTGAATCAAAAATTAGACATTTATCAACTTAAGTTCAGCTATTGATAAGCAACAAACCATTATTATTCACCGCATTTGATTTATTATTGTTTTAAGAAGGACAAGAGGACATATTTGTTAGACTTAAGTTAATCTTTTATACCAAACCTAGACTTATACACATGAATTTAACTGACATTGGGGCAATGTTTTTTATGTCAGGATTAATAATGCATCAACAAGAGAGTATCACATGTAAATGAGTAGTTTAAAACTCGGCCCACATCACACGTATACTCTACTGTGCACATTTACTCACTGTTTACATGTAAGTGTATCTAATGTATGTTTTGCTGCCTCTTCCTCTTTTCTGCGTACTAAATTGTGAAAATAGAGCTGAAGCCTGTTTTTTCTCTGGCGACAGCCAAGTGGGAGGGAGGAGTTTAAACAAAGGCCCTCTCCACATTAAAAATGGAGGCTTGTGCAGAGAAGCCATGGTGTCCTGCTTGTACTCCACAAGCTGACACTTCCTCTTTTTAAGCCTTCAGCTGAGACTGCTACCACCAGATTCTACTCTTGGAAGCTTCAAAGCGTGGTTACAGATGGTTTGTACGTCCGAAATACTATTTTTTGAGTGTATAATTGTGTGGTTTAAGACCTAGCTCTGTGCTCATTTTTCTTCCCCTGTCTCTGACTCTCACAGTGCTGCCCCTGCCTGCACTGAACAAAGATAATTACTCAGGAAACATTTCAGCCAATCAGACGCGGCCTTGTATCTTGCTTGTGAGGAAGGCGACCAGTCAGGATCTGGCTAACATCACTGGGGCCTGATCGCCTTGCCTGAAGAGCGGAGCCTTCCCCGGCTGAGGGCTGAGAGTGTCCTCCATGTTTTATAAGTGTTGACATAACATTGTGTCAGGCAGCCATGCATCCACAGAGGTAAGCTCTGTCTTTTTTATCTCAGTATTCTCATAACAACATGGCTTCCTTCTTGCTGTTGTGACTTTTGGTTTCTAATGATGAATGTGCACACCTTAAAGCCAGTTTCAGTGTGAGCAGGAGGAGGAGCTGGGGTGGATTCGAGGCCTCATCAGGCCTCCGCACTCCACAGGGTTGAGGTTGGGGGGTTGGGTAACGACTCTCACCCTTGCTCTCTCTCTCTGTCTCAGGGTCACATGGGTGTCCCAGACAACCAGGCTGCCATACAGGAGGCAGAGTCGACCGTGGCAAATCCTTTTCCTTTTTATAATGCTAAAGAGAGCTGGGTTTATAAATGGCACCCATGTTTCATTCATGTTTGTGGCAGTGTTGTGTTGTAGCCTGGCAGGGAAAGAATGGGGGATGGGCATTGTGGGCATAGGGACTGGGGGTGCTATGTCCCCTTTGTAGGTGGACTGTCTCCGTTCTGTTTTTTCTTCTTGTGCCAGGCCTGTGGAAGAAAGGCAAACAACATACGTGCTAGGTAGGAGGACAAGCCGTGTAGGGCACAACCAAACTACGATTTATGTCTGTACAGGCTATTTTGTGACTGAAATATGCACGAGTTAGAACTTGTTCAAGGACACTGGAGTTTTTATTCTTCATATTGCTCTGAGTATGAGCACAAAAGAAAACCCTTTAGATGCAAAATCTGTTTTCCAGTTTGATCTTGGGGAAATAAAACATACAAGCACTGCATGGCACTTATTAGTGTCGCAGGCCTCGAGTTCACCGGCCCTGTCTTCTTTAACTCAAGTGTGAAACAGCTTCCTCCTTTCTCAGACAGTCAGTGGCCATTTTGTCTCCAGACACAGCATTTTAGAAGAACTTTAACCTCCTTTTTTCACATATCAGATTACAGGGCAAAGACACAACACGAGACTTAACAGGATTTGTGTGTGACATGTTTATTTAATATTCAAACACCTGTGAGGATTTGATAAGCGTTACTGGTTTTCATTTGTTTTATGTCCTTTCCTCCTGTTTGTCACACAGAACAGAAATAATATTCACGCATAAAACAAGTTTTGTTCTCATTCAAGTCAAGATTTAGAGTAAGAAACCACACAAAAGTAATAAGATAATTTGGAAATGATACATTTGTGAAAGCCATTTTTAGCAGCCTCAGCTGCGTGGGGGAAACAAAGAACAATCTGTTTCTCTTGTGGGCTGACATGAAACATTTTTGATCTACAGAAATAAATAAAAACTAAAAATAGGTATCATTACGATCTTCGTTTCCGCCCACAATCCAAATAATCGACCGTTTTTGTGTGAAAACAAAACCAAAAGTCACCTCGCAGTGCTTCTCATTATACTGTAATATCAATGTAACGTTGATATGTACCTAACGTGTGTGTCTTGGTGCGGAGAACAAATTATCAAGGCCTCTTATCTGTGCTGCCTGTAAACAGCTGTTGAGCAGTTTTTCTTATTTATCACAACCCTAAATTTAATCTCGTAAAAGGCTTTATTGTAAATCCCTCCTGGTTTAAACGCTGTCCTAATCAAAAAGGGCAAACTAAACTGAATGAAACCAAGTCGTTTAATGCAGGGGGAATCACTGCATTGCAGCAAAAATGCTTTTTAAGAGGAAGAGGGGAGCCTGCACGCTGATCTGTGTGGCACAGCGCAGCCCACCAATAACGTCTCAGCCTGTTGGCCCTGCAGCCAATTGCAGCGAGAGCTGAGGTTAAAGATTGACAATCAGAGGGAAAGCAGCAGGGAGAGCAAGGGCCTTCTGGAAAATTCCACAGCCATCTTTGATTCACCCTTTACAGCCTTATATAAAATCCAGGTCAAACCTTTTCTTTTATACAGAATATACCGTACGAACTAGCAATACAGGTTCAGGAGTTGTGCTAAAGGACTCGTTCTTAATGTAGTTTAATAGATTATTTTATGAAATGTACGAATCTGTCTTCGTTACCCTTATGAACAGTAAATGTTATGAGCATGCTTTTTATTCCATTTGTCTGCATGTGGAGTCGTTTTCTTATTAAAAGACCAAACACTTGAGTTTTTTATGACATGTATGCGTTTTTAAAGTCAGCGCTACTAACCCAAAGGACTTTTAGTCCCAGTTCACTTTAATGATTTTTACTGGACGGCGTATCTGTTGTTTTATATAGTCTTAGTTCGTCGTCTGTACAATGTGCACAAACGGCACGATATTTTACGTATAAACAACAGGCTTGTCCGAATCCGACTGTGGCTTTACAGTCTGTTTTTCTCTGTCTTGAAAATAACGTCTAATTATTCTATGACAGCAGCGTACATAGAGGAGGAAAACCAAGATCGAAAACATGAGAGGGGGAGAGAAAAAAAAGCAGATGAGTGCTTCCCTCATGCTGCTGGATTTTCCTGTGTCTCCGCTCAGCGTTTCTTCTGTTTCTGCAGTTGGCTGGGAAGGTTTGTTTTGCCAGAGCCGTGTTTTGAGAAATATTTTGGACTGTAATCTCCACAGATCTCACTGGTTCTCCTGCATGGATGTGCCAGTGCCTGAGTGTGAGCCTTGTGGAGTGGGGGATGGGGGAGAGGGGGGGGGGAGGGTAGAAAGCTGTGGCCTCCATTTTCTGTGACGAGAAAACCTTGCTCGTCTCTCTCAGGAGTGGAATCTGAAGGCAGTGACTCAGTGTTTCCTTTTTGTCCATCAGGTACTACTACGGTACTTGCAGAGAGGAATACTGTGATTTTGTAAACCTGATCTTTTTGGAATATACATCAGAATCTGCAGAGGATTGATTCGCCCAACTCTGGATCATATTTCCTGATTTGAGAATGCCCTTTGGATCATCATACATGTTTTACTCCTGCTCATCCTGTCTGTCTTGGTAGTTGCAACAACGCCTTTGTATTAAGTAGGTATAGAGAAAAAGGTTGTGGTACTTTTTCTCTGCTGGTCTGGGGTGCAGAAAGGCAAATGTTCTTTCTTTATGGCTGTGGTCCACAAAGCAGAGACTTGGCTAAAGTTTCTTATTTTCATGTGGGCCTCGTTTGTTCACTCAGTCCGGAACAGGAAGGCCCTGAAGGGGTAGGGGTGTGTGTGTCTATGTTTCTGTCTACGTGTGTGTGTGAGTGTGCATGAGACTGTTGGCAAGCTGAAACACGACACCCATGTGCCATATTTCTTAAGAAACTGTCCAGTCCTCTGTGACATTTTTCGGACAATGCAAGCTTTTACCGTCCCTTGTTTGGCAGTTTAGTTTGATAGACTGACTGTGAGATTGAAAATTTAAAAGAGAATAAAGCAGACGTAAGCTCTTAGTGATTTTGTTTGTTAGAAGAAAGAATTTTAGTTATGTTTGTTTTGATTGTGTAGAAAACATTAGTCCAATCCAATTAACTATAGGTTTACTACTATAGGTTGACGTGTCTTTGAGTTTGGTTGATGTTCAATTTTTCAGGCTTGTATTTCACCTATACTGTTTGTTAGCTGATGTCGTCAACTATTTGCTCATTTTTCCCTTAAGAAATAAAGGCTAAAAGGTACTCAGTGCAATGTCATGGACACTGGTAGAAAGAAATTCATAAAAGAACTAAAATGTACAATTTTTTTTTTGTCATCTATAATTTTGATTAAATAAAAATAAATTGTAAGCCATATTTATGAACCTTTCCAATTACCAATTGTGTTTCTTTACCTACTAAAACAGCCAAAGTACCTAAACATACGGTAGGCCAACCATGGCAATGTCCGTGGAAGAGCTGTTTAGAATTGAGGTCTCACAGTTTTGATGTATTGGTGTAGATGAAAGTTCTTTGTTTACAATCTAACAAGGTTGAGTCAGGTCCTCTGGACGGATTCTTGCTTGTTGAAACGTTTCGTCTTTTATCCAAAAGACTTCTTCAGTCTGAGAACTTGCAACAAGCTCAGTCTTATTACAAGCAGCACCTTCTCATAGTGGATCAACCAGTTTGCTGCTGACACCTAGAACCAGCTATTCACATGCAAAAGGAGGACCATCAGCCTAACTGAGATGGCGCCGAGATGGGGTAGAGGCAGGGCAGCAGACCTGGGACCAGAAAGTCATGGTTCAACTCCCAGCCATTCCCACATGTCGTGGTGTCTCTGAGCAAGATACCCAATCCCTAATTGTTCCCCAGGCGCTCAATAGCTGCCCACTGCTCCACCTGGGTGTATCCCAGGTGTGAAGAGTTAAATGCAGAGAACCAATTCCATCATTGCATGGGAACATACAATGTTGACAACACATAGCACTTAACAAAGGATTGTTAGAGCCTTAACAATTGGTCGTTAGTGCCCTGATGGCCGCTTGCTATTCACAGGGGGCTGAGTGATACTAGCAATAACAGAATTGCAAGAGAAGGACAGTTGAACACAGAGACCCCTGCCCCTGTTTAATGATGGACAGGTTCTTGTCACAAAGATGGCTTCCTTCACTCCTCTCTCAAACCACATTCCTCTATCAAGAATGTGCACATCATCCTTAACAACCAGTGCATACCTGTATTTCAGAATTGCATATCAGAATAAGTGGGAGAACTAGTGGAGTAAACTCTTTGAAACTATACTATGTGATATACCGGTAGTTAACAGTAGCAGTTTTAGTTTTGATAGTTTGTACTTGAGTACCTTGAAGAGATGAACATTATTTAGATTTGCAAGTGAAAATATATTTGCCAACATAAGTGGTAGACTTTTAGAGTTGAGGCCTAAAATCCCCATCTTCTTTGGAAACCAGAGTTGCAGCCAAAGCTATAAACCGATCAAGTGTGCGACCTGTCAACTCATGAGGGTTTTCTTCTCTGAGCTTGTGAATAAATGTTGCATCCTTGGAACATGTCCCTCTGTTGCTTTGACAAAAGAGCAGCCAAACATCGAAAGACCCTCATTTATTTGCTCCTCATTACCCTCTTTTTTTTTTTAGATTCTTTGAGGAAATGAGAGGCTTTGCAGGAGCTAAAAAAACAAATATGATTTTTTTAAACATATTAGGCTTATTGGTGTAGTACTTTGTACTTTACTTTGTGTGGTACTTTGGTAACAGTTACTGTTTTAGATCTGCTATATAAATAAATTTGATGACTTGATTTGACTACTTGGGCAGCACGGTGGCGCAACTGGTAGAGCTGCTGCCTCTCAGTGAGCAGGTCCTTGGCTCAAACCCCGGTCCAGGGGCCTTTCTGGGTGGAGTTTGCATGTTCTCTCCGTGCATGCGTGGGTTTTCTCCGGGTACTCCGGTTTCCTCCCACAGACCTAGGTGTGAGTGAGATAGTGAATGTTTGTTTGTCTCGTTTGTCTCTATGTGGCCCTGTGATGGACTGGAGACCTGTCCAGGGTGTACCCCGCCCCTCGCACAGTGATTGCTGGACATGGGCACCGGCGACCCCCGTGACCCAAAATGGAAGAAGTGGGTAAAGATAAAGGATGGATTTGACTACTTAGAGGACCGAGATGGGGTAGAGGCAGGGCAGCCGACTAGGGGCCAGAAAGTCGCGGTTCGACTCCCAGCCATTCCCACATGTTGTGGTGTCTCTGAGCAAGGCAACTAATCCCCAATTCCTCCCCAGGCGCTTACATAGCTGCCCACTGCTCCACCTGAGTGCATCTCACTTGTGATGGGTTAAACGCAGAGAATTAATTTTGCCATTGTATGGAAACATACAATTATGACAATCTCAGACTTCCCTTCCCCTTGTATACTGGGTACACATAAATAAGAGGTTGTTTGATAATTTAATTTAAATTCTAAGAAACATCAGTCAATATGAATGTTGTGAGTACTGATATACTGCAAGTGATCCAGAATTTAGAGTTCTTAAAAACAGGTTTGGGGGAAAGAGTTAGTCCAAGAATGGCTTCCTAATAACTGTATCCAAGAAAAGGCCTAAACCTTGGGGAGTACCTTGTTGTTACTGAAGGGGCTTGAAAGGTACCAGAGATGTACCACCAAGAGAGGCTGCGCTCTACAGTGGCATGGGTCATCTCCCATTTGCTTTCTTATTACTATAGATCTATTTGCTGTTTGCCATGAACAAAATGTGAAAGTTAGGACTATGTTGGACTGAATTCTTCAAACTGTAGCATCTCTCGAAGAACAGGAATGCTTGGAGATGTTGGCAAAATGGCTCTATGTTTTTGTTGTGAATATCAAATTATCCTTTGCGAAGAGGAGTGTTGCCATGGTGATTGTTGCCATTCTCTCCCTTGGAACATAAAGAACATTTTCAGACTCTTATTTATTTATTTATTTTTTCTCCTCGCTGCAAATAGTGGAAAGGATTTAAACGTCCGACTCAAAGTCAAAGGTGCAATAAAGTCACGTAAAAGCATTAACAGTGGAAACCAGTCAAGTCCCTGTTGACAGATCCTCTGGGACCCGGTGCCTTAGGTGGTGTTCCACTTGTTTACTGTTACGCCGATATGGTTTCTGAACACCCTCTCTGACTCTGTGTTTGCCCCTCTTCCTGTGTTTCTGTGTGCTCATGTTCGTTGCTCTGCAGTCTGGCTGAGGAGGAGATAAAGGCAGAGTCTGATGTGGTAGAGGGGATGGATGCTTCTGTGCGATCCAAAGGTAAGTCTCTTAAGGCCTCATTAGAAAGCCAAACATATTGGTGTCAGAAAGCATTCAGGTTTTTTTTTACCGTTTTGAGAGCAGGGTCTAATGCATTTTGATAGCCATTAGGACTGCAATGATAATCCATGATGACTACTGTCTGCCTGTTTGTGTCAAGATCGACACAGGGTCTGCTAGTTATGATGAAGCCTGTAAGCCATTTGTTTGGATCATGTGACGCTTTGATACTTGAAGCCTTAAGATCATTGTAATTACTGTTACAATTAGATGTTAATGAAATCATGGTTATACGATTCTGAATCTGTTTTTTTTTTTTAACTGAAACTAGATTGCTTAAATATGCACATCCTCCCACGGTTCTCATTATAAGCATTTCAAGTATGTAAGGTATAATAGACTAATCTATCGTAGCTTTAATTATTCATCCTTTTACTACAGAGCTGCTGGATTTCTGCCATAATGCATGTTTAAAAAAAAAAAATTAAGCTATCATCTGCTGCACTTGAATCTGAGTCAAGCCTCTTGCTGTGCTATTTCCCACATCCACCCAGTTCCTGATCCACCAGGGTCAGCAGAACGAACAGCAGCGCCACAGAAGCGAAAGATGTCGAGTCCCACACATTCCTCCAATGGCCACTCTCCTTCAGATACCTCCCCCAGCCCTGTCAAGAAAAAGAAAAAGCCAGGGGCCATGAACAGTAACAACAAAGACCAGGTGAGGACTCGTTCTCATGGTAAACCTTCTGAACTGGTGGGGTCTGAAAAGCTGGTTGTCACAAGACCCTTTCACACGTGAACTGCTTTCCATTAATCTGATGGCAGCTTTGAGTTTCTGTCAAGTGTTGGTAAAATTTCAAGACATTTTTTGCAGTTTGAAGCAAGTGGCATGTATCATTTTCACCGCAAGCCTGAAAACCAGCAGTCTCATTAACAAAAATACACATGCAGCAGCTAAAAGTTTATTTAGCCTCTCATCAAATGTTGAGATCTCAGTAATAAATGATAGTTGGTAAAACTTTTCTTTTCTACGACAGAGCTTTAGGGCCATGATAAGAAAAAGAAATTAAAAGCCATGAAATTCCAAGAATAAAGTTCTAGTATTTCAAGAATAAAGTCAAATAAGGTCTTAATATTATGAGAATAAAGTCGTACGAGACTTTTTGTGTTTTGCAGCTCTTGTTTATTTTTTTTTTTTCCACGAGTTGGATCCATGATGCGACCTGTCAATCAATCCAAGTAGGCTTTAAGAATCTGTTGGACTACTGGCAGGGACCTATGCAGACATGTTCCTGTTTTTAGTTTTATGTTGCTTTTCTTTTTTTAGCCATCCTATTTGTTAAAAAAAAAAAATCTGTATGACTTTTTACAACTGTTTATTGTTGTCGCTGTTGTCATCATTCTTTGTTGAAACCAGGTCTCGCTTGTAAATGAGTCCTCGAGGCTCAATGGGATTTACCTGTCTAAATAAAGGTTGAATGAAAAAAAAAATCCAGTAGGCGTGTCAGCAAATGACCAATGCAAAGCTAAATGAGTCATAATATTATCCAAACTCCGACACAATAAAGCAGGATTTACCGCATTTTAACTGTGGTAAAATGAAGAATGTTGAGCATATTGTTAAGTTATACTTTGGGATAGGGCTGAGTGATATGGCCAAAACTTTTATCACAATACATTTCTTAATTTTGGTCTAACGATATAATTCGATATAAACAATATAAAAGCCTCAGAAAACTGTACAAATAAATTAATGTTCACCTTTTATTTGTATTTAGCCTTCAAATAATTTTGAAATCACCATCAAATAAACATAAAACTCATCTTTGTCAATATTAATAGTTTTAACTTGATACAACAACATAACCTAACGTTTGCTGCGTGTGTTTCTCTTTTGATACAGCTGGGGTGTTGTTTCAGGGACACGTTGGCTCAAACTTTTATTGTGCTTCATCTTCTGACTCTCAGCAAACTCTATCGAATGGAACAAGTAAGATGTGTTACCACTGTAGTTGGAACGACTCTGGCACATTTTTGCAGCACAAACCTGCAGTTTATCGGATCTTAACTGGCCGAACTACTTCCACACCAGCAAATTAGTCTTTCCTCTCTTATCAGTGATGTCATCTGCTTTCTCTTCACTGGTGAAAGTTTGTTCAGTCACATTCTGACGGTCATGGAATCTCATTTTGAAGCGAAAACTTAACCACGTTGGAGATTAGCCTAACCTGCTACAGCTAACGTCTACTGGACTCGAGCTCTGCGTAACATCTGCGTCACCACGCACTTGCGTAGTTGTCGTGGCTTTTTGTGTCACGGCTTTTTCTGTCCAGGTTGAAACAGAAGCGTCCGCTTCAACCTGGACGGAAAAAGAAATGCGTCATTGAAGCGCTGTATTCATATCAAAATATCGAAAATGTGCTTAAAACTCTCATATCACCTTTATTGAATAAAAGTATATCGTGATATATATCGATATCAAATTATTGTCCAGCCCTACTTTTGTATTGGTTTTACAGATAAGGAGATACTTAATCTGTTAGCACATCGGCATCAGATTATTATCAGTATCAGGACTTTGAACCTGCTAACAGTAAGGTGGTACGCTCTGATGGGCTGCAGCGCAGCTCTGCAGGTAGCTTCAGATTGGTCATTTGCTGACATGCCTACTGGATTGATTGACAGGTCGTGTTGTGGATCCAACTCGTGGGAAAAAATAAATAAATGAGAGCTGTAAAAAAAAAAAAAAGTCTTGTACGACTAATATTCTCGTAATACTAGGACTTTATTCTCATAATTTTATGGCTTAAAAATTTTTTTTTTCTTAGTGTGGCCCTAAAACTCTGTCGTACTTTTCCATGGTTCTAGATAAAATAATAATAATAACGATTTAGTATTAATGTTTTTTCTTTGTATCCAAGCAAACACAAGAGCAAAGCATTAACTGAAAAGTTTTTCTTTCACTTGATTACTATTTTTTGCTGCTCCTGTTTTGTTTCCTACAATTCAGTGGGGATTGTTAGCTTTACAGATTATTTTTGTGCTATGTTAAGAGAAACTCTAGGAAAAAAACAATTTTTTTTTAGATTGATTGTTTTGTGTCAGTGTGGCTCATCACCAAATAAACAGCTGTCACAATGTCTCTGTTTTCAGTGTGACTACTGTCCTGTTAGTGTAGCATCATTACATTTCTACAATAAATGCAATGACTTTTATTTCCCTTGAAAGAGTAGAAATTAGATATTTAGCTGCTTCTCTCCCAATATGAAGTTCAACATGTGTGTTTTGTACAGCAATTAAGACAATGTTGTGAGAAAAGTGACTTTTTAAAAGCCCTAATTATTTTAGCTTAATAAAATTTACTGTTCAATAAAATAAAAAAAACTGAGGTAAAAAGCAGTGGCTGTTTTTTTTTTAACTTTCATGGACGTTTTTGAATGAGAAGATGAACAGAAAAGTGACAGTTTGCTTTAAAAAACTGACAGCGTTACAAATATTGTATATTTTACAACACTGTAAAATAGGTGGAAGATAAGAGACAAGTTTCCCCTCACACACTTTGCTGGTTGTTGTTAGTGCACGCAAAGTTCTTACTTTGAGAAGCTGTAAATTTAAAGGAATTTCTGAAGCTATTTACCCTTAATTAAGCTGTTTTGGCAATGGGATATTGGTGTCACTGGTCTTTAAACCTAGATAAAGAAACTTTTTAACACAGAAACTTGCATTCTGTTTGTGTCCAGATTACATGAATTGTAAGGACCTTAAGCTCATTTGTCAGTACCAGTACTCCTATAACCAAAGACAATCCATCTGTAATGTGACTGCCGTTATATGTTTAACACGACTGCAGCACTGACAGCTGCCATCTTTGAATCCCAGCGTGTACAGTAGTCCCTCGTTTATCGCGGGGGATCCGTATCCTGAAGACCCGCGATAAGTGAAAAACCGCGAAGTAGGAACAGTAGTACAAGTACTACAAGTAGTAAGTAGTAGTTTATTCTAGTATACAGTATATGTACTGTAATTTCTGGACTATAAGCTGCTACTTTTTTCCCACGCATTGAACACCGCGGCTTATAATTTGCTGTGGCTTATTTATGGATTTATTGATGTTTTTGATGCGCTAAAGAACTTCATGCCACCAAAACATTTAGCTTCGTCACACCCAGACGCTCACAGCTGTCCAATACACGTCTTTCTTGGGGGTAGCAATCAATGACTTCCTGATAGAATACTGTATTTTATTTTATTTTTTATCGCTGTGTTACAGGCACTGTTCAGAAAAAAAAAACATTTACTGTATTTGTGCATGTTACTGGTACGTATTTAATTAAAAGTAAAAAAAAATAAATCTTTCTGTGTAAATATCTCATGCTACAACATGAACACCTGCGGCTTATAGACAAGTGTGGCCTATTTTTTGTCACATTTTAGTTTTCTTTTTAAATTTACTGGGTGCAGCTTATATTCAGGTGCACTCAATAATCCAGAATTATATATACAGTATATATATATGAAGGTGTTTTAAACCCTTCCCACACTCTTGCAATATTCTAAACAATGTTTCTAAACACTAAACACTCTAAAAGAACACAGCATGTCATGATTTCAGCTCCCTGCCTCCTCTGCTCTTTGCCACCTGCAAGCGCTCTTGGCCACGCCCACTTCTCAGCTCTGCATGGAGAACAGCTGATCAGCTGCAGCAGGAAGTTTATCCTGCAGTATGGGCTGCACAAAGGTTTAGGAGGAAGCTTTTTCTGCGTCTCTGGGCTGCACAAATGTGCAGCATGTGCTAAATAATTTAAAACAATTTATTTTAAATAAAAAATCCATGCCGATTGTGTGGCTCATCCATGAATCAGCCAATTGTGTGTCATGTCCAATCTTAGTTTGAAAAACCGCGATAGAGCGAGTCCGCGATAAACAAACCACGAGGGACTACTGTACATTGGTGAACCATTTATTGTGCAACGTTAGCTTTAAACAATGTAAACAAAGTTAATTTGTCAACAGTGAAGTAATGCACAGTACTTAGTCTGTAATGAACCCACCTCTTTATTGCGTCAAAGTTAATAATGGCAAACAAAAACAAAAGTCTCTGCAGGTGTTCCTGGTTCCCTTCAGAGTTTCAAAATCAGAACTGTCTGCTCCAAATAATAACTTTTAATAGAACTATGGTAGCAAAACTGACAGAAGTTTAAATAATCTAATCTAGGAATGAACCTTTGTGTGATGGTTGTTTAAAGGTTTGCAGCTGTGACATTAAGGCACAGTTAACTCAGAAAACATTTCTTTAGACTATTAGCTTTCTGTGTTTTTGGTGACTGTTGAAATGCGACATTCATCACTATCAGTTTGGTCCAGCTTGTATCTTATATTTAGGCAGATACTTTAGTAATGTGCTGAGCCATCCCTTTTTTCCAGGCTTGCCTGATCTGATTGTGAAAAAATTAAACAATTTTGATGCAAGCATAACTTTGGTTATTTTTTTTTTTTAGGTTGAATGTAAGCACCTAAACTAACACTTAAATATCTTGAGCCTTAAAACGTATATTTATCAGCTTTTATGCATCCAGTAATTTAGCATTAAACATGAGTGTTACTGAATATTTAGAAGAGACCCAGATCATGCATTGTGTTCGCTGTCACTTTTTTAAGCTCACTTTCTAAACCATGTTTTGGTGCAAAAGAGTTTGGTTAATCTATTTTTATGCATAAAGCACATTTTTTGGTTCTGTTGTTTTTATTGCATCCTGTGTTGCTTCCCCTGCTTCCCCACACCCCTAATACTGTCTTGTTTTTGTTGCACTGCACCTTTTTGTGTTCCTGCGTGTTTTTTGAAACCTACCCCCTGTTTCTCTTGCCTGCATTTCAGTCAGAGCTAAGACATGGTCCCTTTTACTATATGAAGCAGCCAGCACTCACCACAGACCCTGTTGATGTTGTACCGCAGGACGGCAGGAACGACTTCTACTGCTGGCTGTGCCACCGCGAGGGCCAGGTGCTCTGCTGTGAGCTCTGCCCCAGGGTGTACCACGCCAAGTGCCTCAAACTACCAGCCGAGCCCGAGGGCGACTGGTTCTGTCCAGAGTGTGAGGTATCGCGCTAGAGACACCCGCGTGTGTGTTTGTGTGTGCAAGTTTTCGTTAGATTTAAGCATGTTCAGCTGACGAGATGAGGCGTCACATTGAAGTTGTTAGCGAGCAGCTTCAGCCAGAGAAAAGATAAATGTGATCTTGCTCATGTCTGTGGTAGATCCACAAACCTGCAGACTTACCTTTAAATTACACAAGGTAAATTGTTTTAGATTTGCAGTTTAAAAGCTACATTGAACTATTTTATTTAATAGAAACTTAATAAAAGTTTATATTTAACTTGCTTGATAGTTACTTTGTTTAGCTGCTTTTATATTTTAGTGAAATGTTTTTTTTTTTTTAATTTACACGTTTGCTTTTCAGAAAATAACAGTTGCTGAATGCATTGAAACCCAGAGCAAGGCAATGACAATGCTAACAATAGATCAGCTCTCATACCTGCTGAAATTTGCACTTCAGAAGATCAAACAGCCTGGGGTAAGAAAGCGTTTTATAATCTTTGTACGTACAAGACTTAAGTTTGAATCACAAATGCTTGTAGGAGAAGTTTTCCAAACTTTGGCTATTACACCTGTTTCCATCCCGTTATGGCAACAGATCCAATATCTCTGTCATTCTAAAAGCACTCTTGCAAAAGTAAAGGATGCATGCAAAACCGTGAATTTAACAAAAAATCTTTATCTAGGAAAAATGTGACTACAAAAAATGACGATCCAACATCAATTACAATTTCTTTTCTTCCTTTCCAAAAGGAAAAACACAGTATACACGATCAAAAACTGTAGTACTTCGTGCTTATGCAATCCTTCTGCCATTTGTATTTTTTCTAACAAAACACTCAACAAGAAGTAAGCCCTTTCAAAATAAAACTAAATTTCACAATAAAGCTGACCTGAACTAATATTAACCGTACTTACTAAATTGGCAAAAATTAAAAAACATTCTTTGGCTTGCACAAAATTGCACAAAATATATAATCTAAATATTTCGTATTTATGGCTCTAACACATCCATTTCTTTTACCCGCTTCTCCTTTCTGGGTTGCGGGCAACTGGTTCCTGTCTCCAGTCACTGTGTGTGAGGCAGGGGGACACCTGGACAGGTCGCAGGTCCATCACAGGGACACATAAAGACAAATGAACATTCACACTGTCGCTTACACCTAGATAATGTAGAGTTACTAATTAATCTAACACGCATGGTTTTGGACCGTGAAAGAAAACCGGCGTACACAGAGGAAGCCCACACACGCATGGGGAGAACATGTAATCCACCCAGAAAGGCTCCAGGCTGGGAAGTGATCCTGCAACCTTCTTGCTCAGAGGTGATGGCTCTAACCTCTGTTCCACCCATTAAACCTGTTTTGTCATGTTTGTTTTAAATTTGCAGACGGAGCCTTTTCAGAAGCCCGTGTCTTTGGAACAGCACCCGGATTATGCAGAGTACATCTTTCACCCTATGGACTTGAGTACTATAGAGAAGGTACAAATATTTTAATTTAGGTGCTCCAAAACAGTCAGAGTTTTAGGAAATGCTTAATTTAGGTCGAACAAAAGTGAAAACACGAAGCAAATCACATGTAAAACATTCAAATAGATGAAAACTCAAGCCTGACTGTGTTTAAAAAAAAAAGGTAATTAGTATAGAACAACAAAGTCCATGCTCAATAATTAGTCTAGATTTTACACAGAAACGTCTTCGTTGATCTCATGTTTACTTTCTAACAGAATGTCAAAAAGAAAATGTATGGCTGCACTGAGGCATTTCTTGCTGATATAAAATGGATCTTACACAACTGCATCATCTATAACGGAGGTTTGACACTTTGACAGACACAAATAATCCTACTGTGCAAATTGATGCAATGTATAAATGCAACTCATAATTTTGTTTCAGGTAATCACAAACTAACAGCAACTGCAAAAGTCATTGTCAAGATCTGTGAACACGAGGTAGAGGCACTTTCCTGGTGTACTGACGACAGCACACGAGTGAAAACATCTAATTTCACTTGTTTAAATTTTCTTTTTAGATGAATGAGATCGAGGTGTGTCCTGAGTGCTACCTGTCTTCATGCCAAAAACGAGACAACTGGTTTTGTGAGCCATGCGTACGTCTTTACTTTGTCTTAAATCAATATTTACTTTTAATTTATGCATAGCATGTTGGTCTCCAGAGCTGCAAAACATTTCACTGTATTACTATTTTTCAACAGAGTCAACCCCACCCGCTGGTCTGGGCTAAGCTAAAGGGGTTTCCCTTTTGGCCAGCAAAAGCACTTCGAGAAAAGGACGGACAAGTAGACGCACGCTTCTTTGGGCAACATGACAGGTGGGATGTGCTTTGGGCGCTGAAGAGGGAATTGACTCTGTGTTAAAAATGACTGAGCAAACCTTTGCCAAGAATAATCTTCTTGCTTTGACTGGGGATCATGTATCTTTGTGTGTTTGTTTGTTGGCAATTTATTTTCTTGACCCACTGGTCAGATTTTAGTGAAACTTGCATAAAGTAATCCTTGGATGTACAGTAGGCCCTCAGTACTTTGCGGTTCGACTTTCACGGACTTCCTGTTTTGTGGGTTTTCAACATAAGATTGTACACGACACACGATTGGCTGATTGATGGAAGGCGACCAGAGCATTGTGCTCTGTATCCTGGGCGCTGATTGGCTCAGTAGCCGTAGCATCAGTCTGCTTTCTTTTGCTGTGCTCTTTAAGGACCCGGCAGCGGGGACTGTACCTCCGATGTCCATATGGCCCTCCCCACCCTCCTTCCCTCCCAGTCCCCACGCCTCTGGGCACGTGTCTGGGGGGGGGCGCTTTCTCCCGTCAAGCCCGTGGTGCTCGAGGGGCGTGGCTGCTTTTGGAGACCTTCCTCCGCGCTGCCCATGTCCTCATGTTCGCCTTCCCGGGAATGGTGGAGGAGCCCCACTCCAGCGAGGGAAGGAGGGCAGAGGCCATCGTGCGGGCGACGCGTCGGCCCTCCAGGCACGCCCCCACCGCCGCTGTCAGACCCCGACGCCCGACACCTCGAGCTCTTACCCGTTGCAACGCTCGCTATATCATGAAGGACGAAATACACAGATACATGTATATAAATGTTTGTGCTGCTGTTCGGCGTATTGTTTTTATGCTTTTAGTGCTTTAGCATATTTTTTGTTGTTTTTCTTAGTTCATATCTTAGATTTTATTACTGTTTTTCTTATACATTTTATTGTTGGATGTAACTGGGACCCTGTGTACAAAATTTCGTCCCACCACATGTATCACATGTGGTGGGACAATGACAAATAAAGAAACTCTGACTCTGATAAATACGAAAATAAATATAACGTCCCTATTTTGCGGATTTTCATCTAACGCGGGGGGTGTCTGGAACGTAAGCCCCGTGATAGGTGAGGGACTACTGTACATCTACGGTACATCTGATGAACTTTGAGTCAATCCAGTTGAAGATGGTCTTTTGTAGATGGTCTTAGCAAACACACAAATTGCCTACAACTCAAAGTTTTACAGATATTGAGCTCAAATTTGATGTGGTGGTAGCTGAGAGTCATCCCCAACACATACTGCAGACACTAACTGATGATGCAGCATTTTTGTTTAAACTCTGCAGGTAATTTGAATTCTTAGAGGGATTGCTGCTACTTTGTTGCAGTTCTTGATTAAGCGTGCTTTGTGCTCTACTCCATGCAGGGCCTGGGTTCCCATTAACAACTGCTACCTGATGTCCAAAGAGATCCCTTTCTCTGTAAAGAAAACGAAGAGCATTTTTAACAGTGCCATGCAAGAGATGGAAGTCTACGTAGAAAACATACGCAAGAAATTTGGAGTCTTTAACTACGCACCGTTTCGCACGCCCTACACCCCCAACAACCAGCTACAGATGCTGCTGGACCCCTCCAATCCCAGTGGTGGGCCTGTGAAAACAGAGAAACCAGATAAACTTCGCTTTAACTTTGATATAAACTCATCTCCTAAGTTGATCCTGAGCAAGACGTCAACACCCAGCGCTATGAGTCGGCGGGCCTCAATGACGGACATGCCCCGGTCTCCCATGAGCACCAACTCCTCGGTTCACACAGGGTCTGATGGAGAGCAAGACACGGAGAAGACCAACAGGAATCCTGCTTTACACTACAGCACAGGGGAGGAGTCGATGGACTGCACTGGTACATTTCACATTTGCATTTCTCTAGATGCCATGAGTGTAAAGTTGCTCCTTATTTCTATGCAGGGACTTTTAAAGACCAAATTATTTTTATTTTTTCCCTGTTTATTATCTGATAATTATAGCATCTCCTGTCTCAGGGAAGTTGGGACCAGCTAGCAGTGTGACAGGCAGTCCAAAGCCCTTTAACTCTGGACTGGTTCCCAAGCAGGAACGGACTGCAGGGACAGGAGGCATTCTTAACCTCAACCTTGGTCAGTATCACTTGCTCAAATACGTTATAGGTACATTACCACAAGGCAACCAAACATCATACCGTCCCCTTTGTTATACCACCTCATTTGTGAGTTTCTGTCTGAATCAGATCGAGTGAAGGCTGAAATGGATCTGAAGGAGCTAAGTGAGACTGTGCTACAACAACAACAGCAGCAGCAGCAGCAGCAAACAGCATCAACAACTGTTGCTACTCTGAAAAGACCCATCCGGAGTCTGGACAAAACAATCGAAAGCTGCAAGGCCCAGCTCGGTACAGCCATGTGGTTCAGTAGCTGTTTGAAATAATTTAGATTTGATACTTTGATAAGAGACATTTTTAGTTTTACATTTTTATCTCAAATTTAATATTGACTTAGATCAGGGCTGTTCAACTAAACTGCTCAGGGGGCCACAGTTTCTGAAAGTTGACAGCTCGGGGGCCAGACATCCAGCGATTAAAGTTATTATGTAAATAAAGTTTTACTATGATCTGTTGCCTTTTAAATTTATTTTATTGCATTGAATCATAAATGCAATAAACAGAACCCCAAACCCAGACCCCGCCCCGCCAAATTTATTTATTTATTTTTAAATGAAGTGGACTGAATTGAAGTCACCCGTGGGCTGCCAGTTGAATAGCCTCGATTTAGATCAACTTTGACCAGAAATATTGTCAAGTATTACTCTGGAATAACTGATGTCGGCCAATGAGCTAGATAACTAATTCAATAAAGAAAATCTTAAAAGGTTCCTCTTTAATCATTAGCAGAAATAATGTGACACATAGCACAACTAAGAATGTCCATTTTTCCACACAGGAATTGATGAGATCTCTGAAGATGTGTATAAAGATGTGGACCACAGTGACTCTGAAGACTCTGAGAAATCAGACTCAAGTGACAGTGAATATCTCAGTGATGAAGATCACAAGCCAAAGAGCATTGCACCAGAGGAAAAGAGCAAAGTGGAAAGAAAGAAGTCCAAGGGAAGCACGGAGGGAGAGATTAAGGAGGGAGTTGCAGGGACCGGGGATAAAGCCACCTCTGAACCTTTGCTCAAAGAGAAGCAGGGCAGCAGTGGTCCAGATAAGGATTTGCAAGAAAAGCCCAAGACGCCCCAGTCTCAGCCCCTCACTGAAAAGCCTAAACTTTCAGAGGAGGGCAAAGCAGCAGCATCAGTGGCTGAGCAGGACTCGGACTCAGAAAGGGAGCTTGTCATTGACCTGGGAGACGAACATGGAGGCCGCGAATCAAAGAGGCCGAGAAGAGAGCAGGGCTCCTCTGCTGCCAAAACTCTCAAAGAGTCTAGTGCTGCCAAGCTGGAAGGTGAGGCTTTAAAGTGCTTTTTATCCTGACATTTTCTTTGTGACTGTTATGACTTGTAAAGCAGTGGGTAGAAAAATAATCCTGTCATAATGTTAGAGTATGCACTCAGTGAGGTGGGAGCGTGTCACAACTCCTCTCCTGCACACATAATAAAGTCTATTAGTCTTCTGCTTGGCAGATTAGCTTTTCATCATATGTCACAGTAATGTTATTTACATTAGCTTCTACTTATACTTTCAGTCATACCTGACTTTCTTTGAAGCTGCATAAGTAAATTATATCTTCAAAACCAACATGGGAATGTTTAAAATATGTTTTCTGACCTCATAATTTCCAGTGGATGAACTCTCACTGAGAAGTGTCTACTTCAATGACCAACAAAAGACCAAGAACACTTTCAGATAAAACAAACCATCTGCCAGGCTGAAAGTAAAAGCACAGAGTGGTTAGAAAAAAGCTGGATGAAGGTTTAGTGCACGACATAACGTACATTTCTGCAACACTTTTATTTTGAGCTCTAACTTTCCTGGTAGTCTTATCTAAAAATATCAATAAGGACCAAAGTATTCGCACCTGCAGCCATGTTGAATCAAACGATGATGGGAGGGAAAGCATTCATGGCAGCGTATGTGTGCTTGTGTTTACAAGTAATGGCTTCAGTTTGTGGTGTCTAATAAATTATTAAGATATCAAGAGACACTTGTTCTCTGTCAGTGTTTGGTTTCTTCAGGTATAAATTGTGTCTGTTATTTTTGCACCAGAGCATGTTGGGTCAAGTAACAAGAAGTCAACGTTCATTAATTTTATTAATAGCTGTTAACAAAAAAAAAACTGCAAGTGGGTACCATTTTGTAGTTTTTTTTAATTAATTGAATTGCATATTTACTTTCAATGGACAAGTAAATCATTGAATGACTGTAAATATATATATTACATAATATTTCACTCTTTTAAAACAAAACAAAACTTGTCTTATTGTCGGTTTGTAGTATAAGGGTTGAAGTAGTTGTCTTCCCACCTTAAGATATTTTTTTTGAAGTGCAAATATCTTTTGATATACCCTTTTAAACGTAGCTTCCTGGTTGCATGTACAGGGTTGAATTTGAAGATCCTTAATGTTTCACACATAATTAAAATAAATCTTTGTCCTCAGGTAAACAGCCTTCTGCAGCATCAGGTGCCTCAGCACGAGAAACTGCCTCCAACCTCAAAGACTCCTCGCAGCCTTCTATCACAGGAGCACTTAACCTAGTTTCTAGTGCGTCCTCCGGTCAGCCCAGTGTCGCCACAACTACCAGTGGATCTACCAGTTCCTCTTCACCTGTCTCCACGACGTCCCCAGCACCGACAGCTGTAAAGAAACAGCGCCCACTGCTGCCTAAAGAGACTGCTCAGGCTGTGCAGCGGGCTGTCGTTTGGAGTCCAACCAAGTTTCAGACATCGTCCCAGAAGTGGCACATGCAGAAGGTTCAGAGGCAGCAGCAGCAGGGAGAGCAGCCGCCAGCTGTGCAGACGCAGGCCCAGAGTCCGGTGCAGACACGCAGTCCGCAGCAGCCGCAGTCACAGCAGAACTCGTCCTCCAGCACTCGATATCAGACCAGACAAGCAGTCAAAGGTAAATACGTCGACCTACGTATTTGCCCCGATGTAACATAAAAAATTACGTTGGATTAAAATCTATGTATTGTCTTCGCCATCATTGCAGTCCAACAGAAAGACTCACCTCAGAGTGCGTCCTCATCAGCAGCTGGACAGCTCACATCTGCAAGCTCCTCTTTTGTGTCGGGGGACCTTCAGATCCCTACAGTCTCAGCAGATGTAGCAGCAGATATTGCCAAATATACAAACAAAGTAAGTTGGAAACCTAACCCTGTTGTTCACATAAGGTTACTAAACGGGTTACATTTTTGGATGTACTTCATGTGATGTGTTATGAAAATATAGGCACTGTAAATGAGTTGAAAGCACAGTAATATTTGATAAATGTTGTTGTTTTGTTGGTATTGTTTACTCATACTCTAAGCAGAATCTAGGACTATCACAATAAAATGTCATAATTTTTCTTCCCCACTCTATTTTTAGATCATGGACACAATAAAAGGGACAATGACTGAAATCTACAATGATCTTTCTAAAAGCACATCTGGAAACACAATTGCAGAGGTAAAACATGTCATTCAGAAGATTGCTTATTCGTTTGTCTTAAGAATATGAGTCGTAATAAAAAGTATGCACACCATTTTTGAATGCTAAAGTTTTGAATAAAATTTAGCCAAATGGTAATAATGGGATTATTGGATTTTAATAACGGTAAATACAACCTCAGGTAAACAATAACATCATATTGCATCATATGCATCAGGAAGGACATCCGGCATAAAACAATTGCGGATTTGATGTGAGTTTGCTCGCTGTGGCGACCTCTGAAGAAGGGCTTGTTTTGCAACCACCATTATCTACTATGAACTTTTCTGTACACACTAATGTAAGGCAACAAAGGCCACAACGAAACAGCTGAAATTCAAAATTGAATTAAAAGTCTTACTTCTAACCTACAAAGCTCTCAACAACCTAGCTCCATCTTACATTACAGATCTTATTGTTCCATATTTTCCTAACAGAGCACTTCACTCTCAGACTGCAGGCTTACTTGTGGTTCCTAGAGTTTCCAAAAGCAGAATGGGAGGAAGATCTTTCAGTTATCAGGCTCCTCTCTTGTGGAACCAACTTCCAGTTTCTGTCCATGAGGCTGACACATTGTCCAGTTTTAAGACTGGGATTAAGAATTTCCTTTTTGATAAATCCTATAGTTAGGGTTGACTTATTATGCTGCTATAGACTTAGAATACTGGAGGACAAATTGACATAATTACCTTAAATGAATTGTTACAAATGAACAGTTTTCATTTTATACTATTTCTATCTTAACGTGATTCTCGACCTACCATTGTGTATCTGTTCTTCCTTCCTGTTCCTCAAACCCAGCTGGTTGAAGCAGATGTCCACTTGTCCTGAGCCTGGTTCTGCTAATGGTTTCTTCCTCATGAGGGAGTTTTTCCTTTCCACTGGCACCTTCATGCTCAAGATGAGTCTGCGATGGAGTTAAATTCAAAGCAGTCTGCTCCTCAGATAAATAATGTTAAATTATTATTTTTATATATGAATGTTTCTGTTCAGTGCCCTGAGACGACTTCTGTCGTGACTTGGCGCTTTATAAATAAACTGAATTGAATTGTAAAGAAAAGTGAACCAGAATTTTTCTTCAAAGATGTGAGACTAAAAAGGTCATACATAAAGTTATTGCTCTTATTTCTTCCCTTTACAAACCAAGCAAATAACAGGGTGTAGTTAGTCTGTAGCACATTGCTTCTGTATTTTAGTTTACGGTAGTTTGTGCCTGTGTTGTCATGTGGTGGCGTTAATCCAAGGGTCCTGTGAGCACCAAATGATTTTCTATGTTCCCAGGATTGAAAGCTGATGTGTCGTCTTTTTTACTTTTTTATTGTTATGTGAATAAGTATTCAACATTTCCCTCCATCCCCACAGATTCGAAGGCTGAGGATAGAGATTGAAAAGCTCCAGTGGCTGCATCAACAAGAGTTGTCTGAGATGAAGCACAACTTGGGTATGTTTTCTGCTTCCAGAATAATCGTAACTAATAATACCATGTGGCTGCAGATACATAATGTTTATACATATATGGGTTTATTTACATAAATGCAGAGTTAACAATGGCAGAAATGAGACAGAGTCTGGAGCAGGAAAAAGAACGCTTGGTGGCTGAGATGAAAAAGCAGATGGAGTTGGAAAAGCAGCAGGCGGTGGACGAGACCAAAAAGAAGCAGTGGTGTGCAAACTGCAGGAAGGAGGCCATCTTTTACTGCTGCTGGAATACGAGTTACTGTGATTACCCCTGCCAGCAAGCCCACTGGCCTGAACACATGAAGTCCTGCACACAGTCAGGTAATGAAGACCACTTTAATACACACATTTTAATCAAGTTTAGATGCATTTAACTTTGGAGGTCGTTTTGTGAAAATGGGTTGCATGTTTAACGAGTTAAAAGATGAACTGGAAAAAAATTCAGCACAGAAAGCTGCTTTTGAATAGTGTTGTTAAATTATTACACATAAAAGTCAGACGGGAGACTAAACAGAAAGATTGTGTAAATGTATTTTCAGAATGTAGAAGATTGTTTAAGACAGGACTGTTTAGTGGAGCACTTCTGGCCCACAGGTGACTTATGTCCGGTCCACTACACAAGAGAGACGTTTAAACAATTTGAAATGGCTAATATTTCAGTCAGAGAGGCAATCTTGTTATGCCCCCATCTCAATTTTCAACATTTTCATGAGCGTAAAGAACACTTTAAGAAGAACCCCCTCCCCACTGTAAGCACTGACAAAGCCAGGCCAGGCCTCACCGCGAGCCATAATTTTTCATTGAGGATATTTACTGTTTAACCTGCTTTCCCCCGATACATGTATGTACCGGGAACAACCTCTGACTCACGGTGTCAGTTTACAGCCAATAACAGAGATTTCAACATAAATGCCGAACCTGAGCAGGACATTCATAAGAACAACCCATTTCCACACTCGGAAACATCGTAAACAGTCAGAAACATTGCACACATAATTTCCACGAGGCTACCCAGCATGCTTTGCAGCTCACAGTCTCTCTGAGACTCTTACAGAGACTGGTGGAGGGAAAAATAAAAAAAAGTTAAACGGAGACACACGTCTTTGCTTTAATCTGGGGCCTACAAATACCTGTGTTCATGTTAGTAATGTTTAATTATAAGAATTAATTAGCAGAAACACGAGTGAAAGGCTGCTCGCTCTCATGGGGGCACGCTCTTTCTCTCCTGCTGAGCGGGAAGTTCTGATTGATCATATCCGTGTGTGATCGCCCGCGAGCTGGATTAAACTATATCAAACCAGTGTTTCCACTACCATTATACAAGCGGGGTGCCCGCCCCGTCAACCGAACCGAATAATGTAATGTAATTTCTTTGAACTGCACATTTGGGTTCTGTTTATTGCAACTTAAACACATTTAAAAGGTAACAGATCATTTTAATACTTGGTTTATTAACATAATGATTTTAATTGCTGGATTTCCGGCCTTGAGCTGTTGGTTTTCAATAACTGTGGCCCCCGGAGCACTTGGGTTGAATAGCCCCGGTTCAACACTGAAGAGCTGTTTTCACATGGTGTTGACTATTTCAGGAAGTGATGCTGCTGTTTTGATCCAATATTGCAATGCAAAATTAAAAATATTGTTTTATATTTGTGACTTCATTTAGCAGTGTTGCATTAAATAACTGTTCTTTTCCACTGCTACTTGATTATTTTGAAAATAATGAACATTTTATCTCCATAATTAATTCATTTCAGTTCATTTATATGGACTGCAAATGGATTGTACTCATATATCACCTTTCTATCTGATCAAGATACTCAAAGCTCTTTACAACAATCTGTGCCTCATTTACCCATTCATACAGCACTCTACTAGAACTATACAAAGAATAATCAGTTCTTTAAATCACATTTATACACTGATGAGACACATCTGCGGCAATGAGGGTTCATTGCTTGCCCAGGGACACTTCAGCATGTGACTGCTGGGGGAATCGAACCCCCCACTCTTGCATTGGAGGACGACTGCTCTAACCACTGTCACAGCCTCCCCAAGCCAATATAACACCAAGTCACAACAGAAGTCGTCTCAGGGCACTGAACAGAAATATTCATAAACATTAAAAAAGCCAATTAGTAAAATTTATCTGTCTGAGCAAGTCAGCAGATTGTGTTGAATATTTACTTCATTGCAGTCTCCCATCCTGAGCAAGCACAAAGGCAACTGTCGAAAGGAAAAACTCCCTTTTAACGGGAAGAAATCTCCGGCAGAACCAGGGTCAGGAAGAGCGAGCATCTGCTTTGAGTGGCTGGGGTTTGTGAGAAACAGGAAGGAGAAAACAAACAAACACAGAATGGCAGGTCCAGGTGGAATACAGTAGTCCCTCGTTTATCACGGGGGATCCGTACCCTGAAGACCTGCAATGAGTGAAAAACTGCAAAGTAGGAATGTTAGTACAAGTAGTAAGTAGTAG